AAAAAAATCTTTACGTACTAAAGCGATTTTTTTTAGTTTTGGTGAACTCAAATAAGTTTACAAGAACCGATAATTTTAAACGTATTTAATTTACATAAAAAATATTTATATTTAATCTAAGTGTCATGCAAATTAAATTTTGTAATATAAAATATATTTATGTATATGAGAGATATGCCAATTGATATTTGTTATTTTTAATATTTTTTTATATTATATAAAAAATCATAAAATTTTATTGTCGTATATTCTAATCTCGCGTTTGACGCAGGTTTAAAAATCTACTATGATCTAAATCAACATGGCTTAGTATATTCAAGAATAATTAATTATAAATAATGAATTTCAATATCTACTTCCTAAATAGATATTCTTAATTATTTTTCAGATAAGAAAATACCTTTGACTTTGTTTTTCGTCAAAGATTTGTTGTACCAAATCAGTAGAATCGTATGGTTATAGAATATTTTGTAGAATAAATGAAGAGATTTAGTTAGATATTGTACATAGGAAGTGGATAAGTATCCCATAAAAGATAATAATTTCAAAAACGTAAATAATAATTATTATTCAATTAAAAATGATTTATTTAATTACTAAGCCATGTCATCATTTTTCCAATACATGTCATAATTTTAGACCAATGAAATTAAAACAACTAAGAAGATTAAATACTTGCCTTTTAATAGTAATGAGATGAGATTGTGCTCCGTTTGAGAAATTTTAAATCATGTTTCTCTTATTCTGAATCAGAAAAAATTAAAAATTAATGCTAGATGAACAAAATTATAGTAAAAATATTACTTACCAATTGATTGTGTCCTTGTTTATAAATATATAGAGAAGAAAAATTGGCGATTTAGAAACAAATTAAAAGATTAATGTAAAACATTAAAAAAGAATCAATTAGGCGACTGATCATCTATATATTCTGATCAAAATATGCTTTACCTTACTTTATCTTTAATGTTAGATTTAAATCTAATTAAAAATAGAGTTTTGATATTTTTCCAATGCTCTTATATTTTTAATATATATAGTAACGAGCCTGGTATCAATGTGCTTTCTACTCTCTTATAAGGTGGAAACCATTGATCATATGGGATATTCATTTGAAATATCTTACTCTTGACATTACACATCTCTGATTCGCAAACGATATGCTGTTTTTTTTCATAGGAAATGCTTTAATCAACTGAGGCTATTACTCTTGTTTTCATTCAGTTTACGAGCTTCTCGGAATTTAGATTCAATATGGAGAAAACCACTATCTACTAGGCATAAATATTAGAAGACAATCGTAAACAAATTAAAAGGACCATTTTCACTTCACCTCTGCATCTATTCCTATCTACTATTTAGGTTTGCCTCTGACGATGAAGCGTATATCAGCAAACGACTATGCTCCCCTTATTGAAAGTATTTGCAATCGGATACAATTCTGGGCAATCCCAATTTTTTACTTTGACTCATGATGCCTAATAAGTCATAGCTAAGTAATAGCTAATGTGTTGGGTCAAGTAAACAATTTATATTCATTGTCATTTGCGAAAACTAAATATTATGAAGATGTAAAATCAAGAAATCTGATCCTCTCT